GAAACACTTTGTTAGAAACAAATAAAAGAGTACTGAAATGTTAATTGAGAGCTGTCTTCCTTTATGGCAGCGAATGCTGGACAATCTCAGAGATGAAGAAGAGACTTGAAGCAACAGAAATGTGGGCCTACAGAAAGATGTGAGCAATGACGAAGTTTTGGAGAAAAGAAAAATGAAACTTATACTTAACATCAGGAAGAGGTAGTTAAAATTTATGTTATGAGAAAGAAGGGCTTCGAAAGTCTGATACTCACAAGACAGTCTGATGGTAAGAGGGACAGAGGAAAGCAGAGGGTAACATACTTGATGAGCTTGAGCTAATAGATGGCAGAACAAGGTTTGGGAGATGTAGCAAAAATACAAAATATATTAAGAGCTACAACAGTCAGTATGATGTGGAGGGCCATGATCGTCTACATCCTGAAGGGACACGGCACATAAAAGAAATAAAATCTTTTTCTTAGATTGGTCGCCATTCCAGCAGTCTACCCTGCTATTTTATATCATAGCAGTGGGTAGAAAAGATGGAAACATCTGTGAAAATGAACGGCGTAGCAGACCAAGTAGGATTTTGAACTCTGATAGACGTGTCCAATTTCTGTGCCAAGCGTTGCGCCATCTGTCGCCTATCTGGATATTCATGATGAATTTAACAGTTTACTTGCTTTTATATATATATATATATATATATATATATATATATATATATATATGCGTGTATATCTGTGTGGTGTGTGTGTGTTAATATAAGGCAAATGATGATTGGAAGTTCTGCTTTAATAATGCAATTGAGAAAAAAAAGTTAATTGATATTCATGAATTTTTATAATTATCTATAGTTTCTAATTGATTAATTTCAGTGAATAATTAGAAATTGACTGGTTGAATATATTTCCATCACAAGGACAAAAATGGACTAAATGTGGGTAACAGAATAACGTTCGCCGAACAAAGTAAAATCGACGAGCCGTGTTCAAGTTCAATTCTACGCTGTTACAATAGCTCTCAATTCTGTTAGCTATGTGTTAAGCAATCGATTAGACGGGGCAATCTAGACTAGAGTAGCAACCAAACTCTGAGAATAACTGCTCCACTGTATTTCCCATGAATACATGGAATTCCACAGGAACCTGTGGAGGCCCATTACCGCCTGAGATATAGCATTAACATAAATGACTGAATGTAAGCGAGCTATTCATTTCGCACACACCCTCTATAGACGACACACACATTTATACACGTAGACCCATACATAGACACTACCCTTACGCACATCTATACACATGCACAAACTTCCATACTCACACACACACATTTACACGCGCACGTATACACGTGGGTAACATAGATGTAGCACGAAGCCAAAGTAGAGGGCGCCAGTGAGGATCCTTAAATATATATATATATATATATATATATATATATATATATATGTATATATGTATAAGTATTATATATATATATATATATATATATATATGTTAAGTATTATGCATATATTTATTTTAAGTATTATTTATATATATATTAGCTTTATATATATACCTTATGTTATATATATATATTTCATTTTTGTATATAATATTTAAGATATATATATATATATATATATGATACTCAAGATATATATATATATATATATATATATATATATATATGATACTCAAGATATATATATATATATATGTATGTATGTATATTGTGTATATTTAGGCAGCAATATTTCATTGATGCATGTTTCATTAAATAATATAGACACATTTTGTCTATTTATTTTAAGTAAGTTCCTTTAATATTGTCTAATAAGCTTAATAACATTATCATTGAAAGACGAAAGGAAATCACCATATTGATACATGTTTAAATCCAATCTAAGATTTCCGCTTACATAAGCCATTATCAAAGATAACTCTTAACATTTTTAGGCATTTAAAACAACATTCCTGGCCGCTTACACAATTCCGGAAAATCCTTGTTGAAAACACAACTATACTTAAACATGAAAACAATAAACAAAAATTAAAAATTCTTGAAGCTATATACAAAAAACAGTTGAAGCGTAACCTGAACAAAATAAACTACGAAATCTCCACAAATATTGCTAAATGCCTATAATTGATAACAAAGGTCACTGGTATATACCAACGGCTTCCCATATTTAATACTTATCGTTTTCACGAGCGTGGTCATGTGTGACATCACGAGCTGCGACGCGATTTTCGATTCTGCGTTTCGTATACACGAGTTTGTCGTTGCTTTGAATTTTTTCATGCAACAAAAAATGATTATCATTATTGTTTTTCCGTGTATTGTTTTGATATATTAAAATGTAATTGTCATCTTTGATAATGTAAGCGGAAATCTTAAATTGGATTTAAACATGTATCAATATGCTGATTTCCTTTCGTCTTCCAATGATAATGTTATTAAGCTTATCATGCAATATGAAAGGAACTTACTTAAAATAAACAGACAAAACTCTCACCAGTGTCCATGTCTTGTAGAAGACAAGTACCACCAACACTATCCGTACTATCGAGTTTGTTGCCGTCGATATCGCCTCTAAAGTAGTCGTCAAGTCCAAGTGCCCTCTTAGCTCTAATTGCCGCTCTCGCCAGCCCGCCAACGAATCCGGTGCCCTGTGTATCTCTGAGGAATTTTTTATCTGTTTCCTCAGTCGATATATTCGGATTGGCGTAATTTAAATCGTATTCTTTAGCCGCTTGATCAAATTTATTTACGCCAGGTGAATATTTTAACCTATTTAGGTCTGTTCCTGGACCTAGGAACGTGTAGCCTGGGACGGTGAACTCAACGAGCTTACGCTTCGTACCTCTTTTTTCGCCTCCTTTTGGTGGTACCATTTACTTCCGGTTCTGTTACTATTTTATAAACCACATTCATAATAATCGAATTATCTCCCCTTGATTACTTCGAATTTAGTTTCTCTCCGATGGCAGGTCTTTCAATTAGTGTAGGCACTATTTCCCAACTGTCAAAGGCACGGTGCAATGAAACGTAAAACCTACATAAGAAACACATTTCCCAACTCCCATCGATAGTGGAAATAATCGATTTTTTTCATGCTTCTACGGCAGTTTTCATGTAGTTTGCGGCCATTTTCTTCTGGTCAGAGTGAGAGCCTATAGCTGGCTGCCACGAATAGGCAGGAAGATTTTATTGGCCAGCGTGAGAGCCAACAGCTTACTGACACGAATTTTAAGTAGCATGCAAAAAAAATCGATAGCTGCATTCGTCACAAGTGGGAAAAATTTAAATCTGCATGGCACTTTACTTCAATTGGCTCATTCGCTTGCTTAAACTCAACGTTGATTCTGATTCCGCAGAACCTGGGTTGGGTGTGAAAAAAGTATTTGTTGTTAACATTCTTTTTTTCATTCGGTTTTTCCAGTTACGAGTCCTTTTTAAAGCTGATCGTTTTGTGTTCATTTTGTTTAGTTCTTTTTTGTAACAGATTTAATGTTTAGTATAGAGCTTAGAAAAAATTCGCAGTGTGAGATAGGCAAGAAGTAAGGCATGTAGCAACATCAGCACAGGAAAGGGCACTCCTTTAAAGGCAAGGAAGGGCAAAAATATTTTAAGTCAAGTGATAGTGATTGCTGTATGAGTCGTACGATTTTTGAATCAAGCACGGGCAACGCCAGGCCATGCTGCTAGTATATATATATATATATATATATATATATATATATATATATATATATATATATATATATATATACTTTGAAAAATTGATATGTTTATGAGTGCTGTATAACGTTGAAAGATTTATTGATATAGACGGTATGCCTATCGGAATGAACACAGCATATTGACAATCGGTTTATGAAATATTTATTGAGGAGGAGTTCTCACTATTTGAGATTCAACGTTTATAGGTGTAAACAGAGAAATCACAATTTGATGGTGACACGCTTTCACGCCTGAAGTGACATTCAGTTCGTCTTCAGATGTATTTCCGATTCGAATTGAAATGTATTTAACTGAACAAAAATGAAATTAAAACATCGACACTCAGTGTAAAAATAAAGAAAAATACAGATATTAATTTTAAGCAAACGGAATCAGTCTCTGCTATGAAGAATACTGCTGTCTCTTAAATAAACCTAAATGACCGAAAATAGAGTTAAATTAACTATTGAAATATTATCTTAATTTCAAGTTTTAATACGCAATTTACACCCTTGTACAAATTAATTGAAACAACTGCTTTAGTTTCCTTTCCTTCACCATTCAGACTGTTTTAGACCCACTGGAGTGACAGGGTGTAGTCAATATCTATTTTTCCTCAGATTAGGTCATTTGCAGTGGTGTGCAATAATATTAATCTATTTTCGGGTGTATGATTAAATTTGTTTGACATTGAAAAATATTGCGTCATCCGTGATTGCATCAGATTTTTATCACACCCAAGCACTATTGTCTCAGCTGTCGATTAGTTGTCTTCTGGCCATTGTTTGCGATGGAAGTGTACAGAAATTGTGACGCTGCATGAATACACGGACAAACCTTACCAGTGAGCAAATCAAATAAATATAGACTGACCTCGATGCACTCCTGATTTAAATCCAATCAAGAATCTGTGTTGAATTTGCAAGGAACGACTTCATGGAATGGACCTATGAAGTACTACTATGTGCACTAGGTCATGTTTCATTGGAAAAATACGAAAAAAAGTAAATAATAATAGAATTATTCGTGTTGTTTCAATTCATTTTCACAAGGTTGAACATGCAGTTAAACGCCAACGGAAATATATATCGTTGTATATGTATAGGTGGCCATCCCTATTGCAGACACTTAGACAGGCGCATTTGTGTTTATTCAAGACCCACAGAACCCACCAACTAAGCGGAGCAGACCTTAGTTACAGTTTCTGGGAAAGAGCGTGTTATCTAGCGTGATCAACAATTTAAGCAAGGCTATCACGCTCAGGCCCTCGGCCACGATGACTTGTGATTTCGTGCTAGCACAGCTATCGACAGGTGCCAAGGAATCCGTCTACCCAGTTTCACTTACAAGGCTTGGTTCCGTCCGTTGTAGGGTTTTCAGGCACTTTCCAAAAGTGCCGCTTTAATGGAATCAACCCCCACCCTGTCCAAAACATCAGGAAATCTTCCTGACAAATCGACGATGTTGAGATTCGAACCTGGGTCTCATAGTCAAAATGCAAAATTCTAACCAATGATGCAATACCAGAGTATCAATCTCAAGAGCCTCTCAGGGTTACTGAATGAGGTTTGTGATATGAATGCAAGAGAAGGAAGCAGAAAGTGGGGGTTATGCGGATAATAGGGCTATACAAATATTGTCCCTTGACTTGTAGAGGTAAAGACTGATGGAAGCGGCCATGAAGAAATCTGTTCCACGTGGTTGAAGATATTGGATAAAACTGTCTAAGTGAAACTTCCTTGTAACATTTGGAATACGGAAGGAATATGACTGATTTGACTCTGTGGATATGGGATGGGGAGTCTTATCTGTACAAGTGTGAGCGGGTGGCAGTCTCGTGGGAGACTGCCACCCGCTACTGAGATTATATGAACCACAGATCCTTTGTATTTTCTCCGATAATCCATTCACATGGCAAAGAAGATCAGGATAACAGTCCGAATAATGTAAGTAATCATAATACCTAATCTCAGAGATATTTCTTATCTCATCTTGCGTCTGACAAGTATAAACGGTCTGTTCCTGATTGTATATATAATTGTCCTTTTAGTTTTCCATATTCTTTCCCGCTGCTTACGTGTTCTATCCCTGGTATTCTAGACATACATCTGTAGAACTATATATTTATCATTTCATCTGTGAGGAATCCTGACAGCATTAAGTGCCATTATTTCAACCTCATTCCACCGAGGGCGGTGATCTTTTCCCCTCCATATGTCGTCAGCTACGTCTGATTTTTCTATTTCCCCTTGTGTTACGGCTTTACAACGTTCTTGCAGTCTTACATTATGTTTATATTTCTTTCCACATCTGCACGGGACGGCAAACACACAGTTCTTCTTAGACATGTTCTCCTCTATGGTGGGTCTTACTCGGAAGCGGTGTCAGAAGAGGCGTCCTGATATTATATGGACCACAGATCTTTTGTATTTTTCCCGATAATCCCTTCACAACAGTCTGAATAATGTAAATAGCGTAAATAATTACAATGCCTAATCTCTTATAGGCTTTTCTTTATCATATTAGCAAAGGAAGGTATAAGAAAGTCTTAATCAAAGATACATACATCAAAATAATATTCGAATAAAATTATTTATTATGTTGTGTCATAAGTAATTCCCGTTTTGGCTAACCAGTTGTAATACGAATGTATCACCGTATATCCTAATCATAGGTCGTAGTTAAGAAAAAGTTTGGAATACATTAGCATACCTTAGGCGTTTTAGAACAATGGCAGTTTTATGAACGCGCGTGTGGTTGCAGTCTCATACACAAAAATAACTGTAACAATAGTCTTGGCGAGGGTCAAATCGGAAGGTCGTTTGGGCAAAATAAAATTCACGAACCTTTCGTTTTCTTTTGTACCTAACTTCCGTATGAGTAAACGTTTTTTCCAATCATACTCTGTCTGGAAATTCGTGGTGAAAAGTGTCTTTCCATCGCGTAATCCATGAATCAAATGTGTAGCCGTTTTCGGCGTCGTATGAAAATTCTGAAATTGTGTTCGAAAGATCGACACTAGATGAATTACCTGTGTCTTGGAAATGAAATTTTTGAGTTAATGCGGTTATTCAATTTAGTTGAGCTTTTTCAAATTGTTCTTGCTGTTGTGACAAAATTTGTTTCAGAACTTCTGCAGAAATAAACATTTTTTTTGTACTTCTGAGTTTTGGCTGTTTAAAATCAAAATAAATCGTTAATAATTTATTTATTTATTTTTTCGAAGTCCAAATCCTCGTCGTCAGTTGTTATGAACGCGTGTGTGGTTGCAGTCTCATAACTATCAAATGAATGCCTTGAATGAGTTTTGATTCACGGTCCGTAAATGAATATATGCGTGTGTGTGTGAGTGTGTGTCTGTGTGTGTGTGTGTGTGTGGCACATGGAGAAACGGGTGATGCGATTCAGAAAAGAGTAATTTGCTACTCACGGTTGGCTTGAAATTACCATTTATTCACAGGAGAACATTACAACATATATTTAGATATGTACAAATCACGGTCCCAAGTTACTGGGTTGTGTGTCACAACCGTTGGGACAGGAGAATATATATCGTCCTTATTGTCTGGTAGCCATGTTCCAATTTGTTCCCTTTTTTGCGCGTCCCGCTTATCAAAGTCGCGTTGATCACGTGACTCGCGTGGTTTCGACAGGCGCAAAAAGGGAGGTACTCTGTTTAAAACAGGAAAGAGTTATTTCCCTTGGAATATATTTTTTTATCCGTCCTAACATCTCCCCTTTAAAATTGTCGCGTGTACGACTTCAGGTGAGGATCAACCTGCAAGAGCTGTGCCGGACGGCGGGTGCAAACTGACTTCTGAATGTTCAAATCCTGTGTTTCAGCTTCGGTGTTCTGGGAAGTTGCTGGATTTGCTGTGGCAAGTCAAAGGTGTCCAACAAGATGTTCAAAGGAATGGTAGGGTCTTGTTGTATTCCTTCTGGAAGATGTGATGGTCTCAGTTGGTTGGAAATTGAATTTTGGACACTTACATTGTAAGTGACGTTGCCAGTT